GGAGGGCGGGGGCGGGGCCGGGCCCGGGGGCGGGGCCTCAGCGAGCTAGCCTAGGGCGCGGGAGACGGGTCTTGCAGCCTGTGGCGCTTGCAGACCCTGGTTCTCTGCCGCTGTGATTTTCCTACTGGGGCTCCAGGACTGGCGTCCCTCTCCAGCCTCTGCTCACGTTTCCGTGGCGACGTCTCGCTAGCTTGGACCGTGGCCGAGCCGGGTTGTCTACTGAGTGCTAGAGGCTGCTCTGTTCCAGTGTGCCTACGCTCCGGCCTTTTATTAAAATCGAGGGGGTGCACGGACCAATCAGAAAACACTCAAGCACCACGGAGGGATGTGGCCCCTCCACATAGCGACTTAGCTAACCCTCCCTGCGTGAGACAGTGAGGTTTTAAAATAAACAAAAACAACAAACAAAATAGACCTTAGAAATACTGACAAAGGGGAACTGAATGTTTGAAACCTAAATGCCTGTTTTTCAAACTATTTGATACTCATCACAGTGGCTGTTTTTTAGACACGCCCTTAATGGAGTAAGAAAAATCTAAGCTTCACTGAACGGTTGAGAAGGCGGATTGCCACATAATGGAAGGTCACCAGTCCCTTACCTCACAATGCACCATTTGGACTGTCATAAACATGTTCTATTGCCTAACCAACAAAGGCGAGCCACTTGTTGCTCTTCACGTCCTGGCTCTGGTCTGTATGCTTCTTTCTAAGGCATAAGACAAGCAGGAAACCACTTTCCAGAGTCTTGGATTGAGCAACATGGATCAGCAGATGCATTCTACCTCACACTGTTTTGAGGAACTTGGGCCTGAAGGCCAACCCCACCATCTCATTTCCCGCAGCCCAGTACGGAAGTATGATTTTTTTTTCGTTTTTTAATTATTGAGAAAAAAATCAAAAGAAGAACAATGTTTCTGATTGTTGGAATTTACAAAATTTAAATTTCAGATCTGTGAATATAGCCGTGTTTATTCTAACAGAGGTGAGGACTTACAGAGTCTTACTACCTGACCTTTTGCAGAAAAATTTAGCAGCCAGGTGGTGGTGACACACGGCTTTAGTCCCAGCACTCAGGAGACAGAGGCAGGTGTGGGGGATGGCAACGCTTGCATTTTACATGCCTGGTATTTTATTTATTTTGCTATCAGACTTTGAACCTAGAGCCTTGTTCTCTACTGCTGAGCTTTATCTTCAGTTCCTTGTTTGCTTTTTATTTTGAGACAAGACCTTGCTATGTGTAGCCTTGAACTTGTGATCTTCCTGCTTCAGCCTCCTGAGTAGCTGGGATGACCAGCACGTGCCGTCACACCTGGCCTCTTCTAATGAGATGTGGGTGTTTGGGGGTGCACAGTATGCTCAGAAGGTATTGACAGTTGCTTTAGGCTGCATCTAGGTAAACCGCTATGGCCTGAATGAGACAGAAACTCGTTTTGCCCAAACTTGATGTCTGGGTAGGTAATCGGGGTCTGCTGCAAAAGCTCAGTGTGTGAGAGACGCTGATTTCTTCCATTTCACTGTCTGCTTCCTTTAGGGAATTGTCCTTGTCCTGGTCAAAAACAGGTGACCGCCATGCAGAGCCAACTGGAAGGAAGGAAAGAGAAGGGGCGCAGAACTCTCTTGCTTTGAAGGCTATGATCCAGGGTTTTATTCCTCATTTCTGACAGAACCCTGTTATGCGAGTGTGACACCTAACTGGGAGCAGAACTAGAAATGTAGTCTTTAGCTGGCCAACAATTTGAATGGCTAATTTCTACTACTATTGAAAAGTGAGAGAGAGTGGGCATTGGGGAGCCATCTGCCCACTTCAGCCACAGGCTTGTGTTCTGAATTTTTTATACTTTTTTAAAAAGATAATATTTTATTAGTTCTTTGAGAATTCCATACAACATGTTTTGGTCATATTAACCCCTTATTCCTCTTCCTAACTCCTCCCAAACCCACCCCTAATTCCTAACCTCCCCAACTTCGTGTCCCCTTTATTATTACTGTGTTTTGTACCCCATCAAGTCCATTTTGTGCTGTCCATATACTCCTGTGTGCGGAACGATCCAGTGAAGCATGGTTAACCTACTAGAGGCCACACCCTTAAAGAAGGCGATTCTCCCTCTCTTAGCGGTCTTCAGCGGCCACTGGCTCCTCAGGGATGGGGAGCCTAGAGCCCCTTCCTCCTCCATTCTAGACTGTTGACTGACTTAATTTTGTGCAGGTCTTCTGAAGGCACTCAGAGCTTCTGTGAGTTCATGAGTTACAGTGGTTCTGTCATCTCCAGAAAACTGCTTCGATCCAGTCTTTACAATCCTTCTGTCCTCTCTCCTCCCATAGTCCACGAGTCTTGGGAGAGAGGTATGATACGGATGTCCTACTTATGGCTGAGCACTTCTCTGATACTTTCTGCACTTTGACCAGTTGTGAGTTTCTGTGTTCACCCTCATCCACTACACAAAGAAACTTTTCTGGAGATGGGAAGAGTTGCACTAATCTACGGGTATAAAGATATGAATTTAGAAGTCTGTGTCCCTTTAGCAGAATAATAGGAGCTGGCTTACCCCAGGGGCCTGTAAGCTCCACCCCCATGGGTTCTTAGTCATATTTATAGTACCAGGCATGTGTTTCCTCCTGTGGAGTAGGTCTTAAATTCAATTGGAAAGTGATGGGTTACCTCCATAATATTTGTGCCATTGGCATATCTTACAGTGCTGGTCATTATTGTAGCTCAAAACTTGGTTAATGGGTTTGGGGATTTAGCTCCATGGTAGAGCACTTGCCTAGCAAGTGCAAGGCCCTGGGTTCGATCCTCAGCTCCAGAAAAAAAAAAAAAAACCCTTGGTTAACACTGTTGATGACTCTCCTCCACCCCCATTTTACAGATGGGCATGATGAGGTTCATGCTCTTGTCCACAATTACACAGACAGCCAGTACAGTGTTGAGCTAGGATCCGAGTTTACACATTCTTATTCCAGATCCTTTAATCTCAACCTGCAAAATGCCACCCGATACATTACACGATTAAGTACAAAATTACACATTACTAATTTAGAAATCTGAAATGCTCCAATGTTAAAAACTTTCGAAGCAGTGACATGATCCTTGCTGCAAGTGGAATATTCCACAGCTGATGTCATAAGATATGTTAGTCAAAAAGAGAAACATTGTATGAAGACACTTTCATACGGTTTATGAAGTATATACGAAACATTAATGGATATTGTGTTGATACTTGGTTTCTAGACCCAAGACTTCTCACTTTATACATATACACATTATCTGAAATTTGAAAAATATCAAAACACTTCTTCTCCCAAGCATTTTGAGTAAGAAATACTCAACATGTAAGAAAGACTTAGATGGGGATTTACTTCTGCCCATATTGAACAGTCTAGCTTCTATGTATCATGTAGGTTTGTGCCATTATAATTTATTTTGAAGATTCCATGAAGAATTATTTTCCTAGATAAGAAGCAACAAAATATAGTGAAGAGAAATGAAAACTGGAGTTCATAGCTTCTTTTCTCAAAGGAAAGCAGGGTTTTGCTCTTGGTTCTTTTTTTTACTTTTTTTTTTTTTTTTTTGTGTGTGTGTGTGTGTGTGGTTTTTCGAGACAGGGTTCCTCTGTGTAGCTTTGCACCTTTCTTGGAACTCACTTGGTAGTCCAGGCTGGCCTCGAACTCACAGAGATCCGCCTGGCTCTGCCTCCCGAGTGCTGGGATTAAAGGTGTGCGCCACCACCGCCTGGCTGCTCTTGGTTCTTTTGTATAACTTATACTCACATTTCAGATTTTCTTCAACATCTTTCATGTTGAAGCCAAATTTCCAAAAATGTTACATAGTTTCATGCAGCCATGGTAGGTACAAACTGTTCATGAAATAACTACATCAAAACCCAGTTTTCTCTGGTTTGGACTATAAGTAAATATGTTGCAACTCTGTTGGGTTTGGTCTCAGGTTTTGGCACCAAATTGTGAGTTTTGTAACTCTGGGGAAAGGTATCCTGACTACTTGGGGAGTCAGGCAACACCTTGAGCTGCTTAGGACAGCTCTGACAGCTGGAGCTGCAAAGAGACAGCTCAGCCCTGGAGGACGAGGTATCCTGGACACCTCAAACTGCTTTAAGGCAGCTCTACCCTGGAGGTGTTCTAGACCCCTGGAGCTGCTTCAGACAGCAAAGCAGCAACTCAGCTCTGGAAGGGAAATTTTTCTGATTGCTCTGGAGAGTCAGGCCTGGAACTGCTTCAGCAGGGAAGGGTATCCTGACTGTTCAGGAGAGTCAAGCTATACCTGGTGTGATGGGGGATGGTCTCCCCACAGGATATAGCAATCCTGCTCCTCTCCTGGAGAGCCACTAAAGCTGAGCTTTGCTCAGCATCCACTAAAGGAGGCCTAGCAGAGGTCTACTTCTCCAGCCTAAGATGTTGCTTCCTTTGCTTCACTCTGCAAAAGGGGAAATCATTGCAGAAATGTAGCAACCTCCTCAGGCTCTGGAGAAAAGTGTTACTTTTTCAGCTCTCTCTTGCTCTGTCTACTGAGGGATTTCTCAGCAAGGATCTTCTGTTCAGCTCCTCCTTGTTCAGTCCACTGAGGGATGTCTTAGCAAGGATCTTCTCTACACCAGTAAATGAAGATCTTCACACTCCAAACTCTTTTGAAAAAGAAATTTATTTGGGAAGGAGGAGTCCAGGAGAGTAGCTGCCTCTACCAGGGTGGAGAGAACAGCCCACAACTGACCAGGCAGGGCGGTTTATATAGGGTGTCTTGTGGGCAGAGTCAACCAGTGATTGGTTAGTTTTTTTCTGCCTAAGGATTGGCCAGTTTTGTGGGCTAGGGACAGAGATGGCCCTGATTTCAGAGCCAAACTGTGTTTCTTTAAATGTCCTTTCTTGGCTTTTTGACACTGCCTCTAAGGCCAGGGCACATTTCTTTCACTGACTCTGATTCTAGGGACCAAGAGTGTTATTTTGGTACTAGTGTCAGAGTCAAGGCATGTTTCCTTGATTCTAGGTTTGGGGATAAAGTGTTCCTTTCTCTGACTTGGGTCCCAAACCCAGACTGTGTGTCTTTCCCTGGTCCTGGACCCCAGGGCCAGGGGGCTGCTGTCCTGTTCTCTGATGTTTCACAAATCAGTTGGCCAGGGACAGAGATGGCTCTGATTTGAACCAAACTGTGGTTCTTTCATTGGCCTTATCTGAGCCATCTTTCCCTAGTTCTGGGCTCCAGGGTCCGAGTGGGTTTCTTTAGCCAGCCCCTTTCCCCTACATGGACAAAAAAAAGCAAAGTTTCAATCACCTGGACCCCAATTTGATCATGGTACATTGTTTATGTGTATCAAAATTTCACACCATATCCAGTAAATACCTACAATTAAAGTAATGACTTTTAAAAAAGGAATCACTTGGCTAGAGTTGCAAAATATACATGTTCACAATTCTGACTGGCTTATTATAATTTGAGGATCTGATTGTGTTAACACTTGTTTTTTAACATTTTATTTTTCCTGCATGTATGTACATGGACCTGCCTGCATGGATGTACATGGACCACACATTTGCTTGGTGCCCCAGGAGGCCAGATAATGGTGTTGGATCTCCTGGGATTGGATTACAGATTTTGTAAGCTGCCATGTGAGTGTTGGGAACTGAACCTAGACCTTCTGAAAGAACAGCAAGTCCTCTTAACCATTGAGACATCTCTCCAGTCCCATAAACGTTTGCTTTGATTATGTTTACTTTGCTCTGTCTTGATACTTTTCTGGTTTGAGATCCTAAAGTTCACATTTTATGTGACTATGGTATCTAACAAAATATGTAGATATACAGTGTTTAATAATAAATCAACTAAAACCTTTGATCTCCTCTCTAGAAATGCTCACTGTCCTAATCAAGATCAGAAAAAAAAAAAAAACCAGAATTTCACAACAGTATCCCTGAGATGTGGTAATTGTGCTTTTTTTTTTATCTGAAATTGCAAAAGCAATTGAGGATTAAAGA